ACTCTGTTAATAAAGACTGTGTATTCTCATTCTTAGATGAAATAACCCCCCAAAATATTATAGGTAAAAAGTCAATTTAGTATACCAAATGGAATACAAGAAAGTAAAAAATTAAGCAAAAACAAACACACAGAAACCAAATCCAGTAAACAAGAGACAAAGGAATGAAAACAGATGATACAAAAAATTGCAGTAGAGGCACCTAGGTGACTCAGCTGGTGGAACATGTGATTCTTGATCTAGGGGCTGTTTGAGTCTCACCTTGGATATAGAGATTACTTAAAAATAAAACCTTTTAGGGCACCTGGGTGGCTCAGTCAGTTAAGCATCTGCTTTGACTCACGTTATGATCTCAGGGCCCTGAGACTGAGCTCCACATCAGGCTCTGTGCACAGCATGGAGTCTGCTTCTCCCTCTCCCTCCCCTCTGTGATCTTTCTGACTCTCACTCTCTCTCAAATAAATAAAGTTTTTTTAAAAAATAAAATCTTTAAAAATTTTGCAATGGACACAATCATATAAATAATTATATAAAATATAAATGGAATGAATTCTTCAAGAGGCAGAAATGACAATACTGGATAAAAAAGCAAGATCCAACTCTCTAGTTTACATAAGATGTATTTAAAATATACAGACAAGATGAGAAAGTAAAAGGGAAAAAAAGATATCATATGAATCCTAAGCATAAGAAATATGGGGTGATTTTATTATTATCAGATTAACAGTATTACTGGAGACTAAAAGGGATGGTTCATAATACTTAGTGTCAATTCATCAAGAAGATAAAATAACCCTACCAATGTGCAAATATAATAACAGAGCTTCAAAATACATGAAGTTTTAAAAAGTGCCACACTTGAAGGGAGAAATAGATAAATTCACAATCATAATTTAAGAGTTTAACATTTTATCTCAGTAATTGATAGAACAAGTAGGACACAGTGGTAGGAATAAAGAAAATGTGAGCAACATTATCAAGCAACTTGGTTTATTTATTTATAGAATACTATACACATATTTATTTCAAGTACACATGAGAAATTCATCAAGATAATTCATATATGGGATAACAACAAAACCCAATAAATTTCAAAGGATTGAAACTATACAGCATATGTTCCCAGACCAAAAGAGTTACTTTGAATATGAAAAATGTTGCATCTGGATATTTGGGAATGAAGCAACATGCTTCCAGTTAGCCAACAAGTCAAATCGGAAATCAAAAGGGATATCATAGATAAATTTAAATTGAATGGCAAAAAGATCACCATGTATCAAAATTCATGAAATGCAACTAGAATAACATAGAGGAGGAAATGTATAGCTTTAGGTTATATATTTTAATCTATATAAAAAAAGTTTTAGCAACAATGATACAAAACTTCAGAGAAACTGGAAAAAGAAGAGAAAACTAAATCCAAAGTAGTATAGAAAAATAAATAAAAATGTAAGAGTGGAAATCAATGAAACAGAAAACAAAAATAGGAAAATGACAAAGAAAAAAACTTTTTAATAAAGATTAATAAAATTGATACTGATAAAGCAATACTGATAGACAAAAAGGAGACAAAATGTATTTTACCAATATCCAGAATGAAAGGGGCATCACTACAGATCCTAAATAAATTGAAAAGATGATAAAGTAATATTATCAATAACTTCATGTCAATAAATTTAACATTGTAGATAAAATGGACAAAGTTTTTTAAAAACCTGTTATGAACTGACACAAAAAGAAACAGGAAAATGGCATTGTAGCATATCTATTTAACCAATTTTTTGCAATTCAAAATTTTTCCACAAAGAAAATGTTAGCCACAGATGCCTTCTGTGGTAAATTCTATCAAATACATAAAGAAGAAATAATAAATATCTTACACAAACTCTTTCATAAAAGAAAGGAGAAAACAATTGCCAAATCATTTTATGAGACCAGTATAATCCTGAAACTAAACCTGTTAAGAGCATAACATGAAAAAATACATAGATCAATATCCTTCATGAATATAAACACAAAATTCTCAACAACATTACTAGCAAATTTGATCTACCAATAGATACCATATTTTTCACACAGCTGTATGCCACCTGGAAGAAAAACATAAACAATTTGCCTGGTTAATCATAGCCATAGAAATGCTCTTCTGTTTCCAGTCTGCAAGACTCCAGTTTATTGGATATCCTTGGATATCTTTGTATTCTTCTGCTAATCCAGGTGCCCCAACTTGAGTAAGTTCTTTATGTAGAATGGAGAGGGACTTGATTGAGATTTCAGTGCTCAGATTCCAACTGTGATCACATCACTAGTACTGCAATGGCCACTTGAACTTGCAAGTTGGAAACAACCAATAGGACCAGGACTATGGTTAAGCAAGTGCCTCAGAAGCATAATTAGTGGGTCTTTTCAAAACTTAGTATTAAAGATAGATACTATTTAATGAAATATTCTAAAAAATCAAACTTAATAGAAAATCCATTGTGAACAAAATATCCAAATATTAAATAAAGAAGGGATCTAACACTATGCTTGCAAAACTTGGCCTCACCCTAATCCCACCCTAATCCCTCACCCTGTCACATCCTGATGTCAACTTTATTGTTTCCTGATCTCACTGGGGGAAAAAAATGACCATACCTACAGTAAAGTTCCCTCTCCTGGGATGCTCCTTCATGGACAAGAGGGCTAGCAAACATCTAGATGTGATAATGCTGGCATAGTTAAATTTACAAAAAAAATTCCTTTAGTTTGCAAATATGATCTCTTCTAGAATATGTTATTAATGCCAAGTTTATTATATATGCTTATGCATTAAAGAAAAATATCTTTATAATGTGGAAAAACAATGTTATTCTGGTATATATCTGTGCATGCAGCATATCTCCACCATCTACTAAAGCTACTCCCTCCCACACACCTTCAAATGCACACATAAACAAACATGCACAGATACACAAACACTATGGGTGCAGCTGTGGAGTTCTAAAATTGCTTGAGGCATTACCGTTCATGTATCATGAAAGACAGTTATTGCTTTTTCATGGCTGTGGTGATAAATTGGAAGTAATGCTCTTTTCAAGGCATGACAGATCAGTCCAAGGAAGACATAAATATTCATCCTTTAGAGATGACTTTAAATTGTACACTTTACCAATAAAATATTTGTGAAGTAATACAGGAAAGCAATAATGGATACTAACACATGAGGGTCTCTGAACCTGTTACAAAACACACATCTGTGCATATTGAGAAGGTGTTAGGAATTTCTAATCATTCTGCCAGGCATATTTTACCAAGACATGTAGATTGATGATATGGTTATTAACACTTTCAGGACACATATTTGGGCAGTTTATTTTACTATGCAGAATTTTGACCCTGCTACTTCACTGTCTGAGACAGAAACCAGTTCTAGATGACTTCATAAACATCATAGTCATTTTGTCAGGACACCACTCCTGCAGGTTACTTTTGGGTTACTCCTAGCCAGGAATATTCCTTTGAAGGTTCAGTTACTTGTGTATGTTTGTATTAGCCAAATTGCAAAATGACTGAATAAAGATACAAAATTAACCACAGTAGATCAGAGTATTAATCTTATGATCACAAGTTGGCTGCTTCAACTTGAGGCTTATTCCCCAAAACCCATGCTAGCTATGAAAAAGAAAAATGGGCAAAAAACCTGAGGAACATATCACCTCACATCACCCCTTTGAAAAATATTTGCCTTAATTATACTCAAATTAAAGTCTTCTGCACCCTGAAGGAAACCATCAACAAAACAAAAAAGCAACCTACTAAATAGGAGAAATTTTTTGTAAATGATATATCCACTAAAGGGTTAATATACAAAATACATAAAGAACTTACACAACTTGGGGCACCTGGGTGGCCCAGTCAGTTAAGCTTCCGACTCTTGGTTTCGGCTTGATCTCAGGTTGTGAGATTGCCCCCTGGATCAGGTTCTTGAACTTGCTCACACTCTCAAAAAAAAACAAAAAACAAACCCAAAAACCATACAACACCAAAAAACAAATAATTCGATTTAAAAATGGGCAGAGGACTTCAAAGATATTTTTTCTAAGAAGACATACAGATGTCCAACACACACATGAAAAGAGGCTTGACATTACTAATCATCATGGAAATGCAAACCAAAACCACAATGAGATAATATTTTATGCCTCTCAGAATGGTTGGTATCAAAAAGACAAGAAATGGCAAATGTTGGCAAGGATGTAAAGAAAAAGAAACTCTCCTGCACTATTGGTAGTAGGAATGTAAATTGGGGCAACCACTGTGGAAAACAGTATGGTGCTTCCTCAAAAAATTAAAAATAGAAATATCATACAGAGGCACCTGGGTGGCTCTATCAGGTAAGCATCTGACTTCAGCTCACGTCATGATGTCAGGGACCTGGGATCCAGCCCTGTGTGGGGCTCCACGATCAGCACAGAGTCTGCTTCTCCCTCTCCCTCTGCCTCCTCCCTACTTGTGCACATGCTCACTCTCTCTCCCTTTCTCTCAAGTAAATAAATAAAATCTTTTAAAAAGAAATACTATAGGGATCCCTGGGTGGCGCAGCGGTTTGGCGCCTGCCTTTGGCCCAGGGCGCGATCCTGGAGACCCGGGATGGAATCCCACGTCGGGCTCCCGGTGCATGGAGCCTGCTTCTCCCTCTGCCTGTGTCTCTGCCTCTCTCACTCTTTCTCTGTGTGACTATCATAAATAAATAAAAATTAAAAAAAAGAAATACTATATAATCTAATAACTACACATTGGTTATTTACAAAAAAAACCCTCCTAAAAATACTAATCTGAAAAGATATATGACCTCTATATTTATTGCAGCATTATTTACAATAGCCAAGGTATGGAAGCAAACTAAAAGTCCATCAATAGCTGAATGAATAAAGATGTGTGTGTGTGTGTGTGTGTGTAATATATATATATATATATATATATATATATAATGGAATTTTATTCAGTCATAAAAAAGAATGAGATCTCACCATTTGCAACAACATGGATGGACCTAAGGGTATTAAGGTAAGTGAAATAAGTCAGACAAATACCATATTATTTCACTTACAAGTAACATCTAAAAAAAAAAAAAACCCTAAACAAACAAACAAACAAACCCTGAAACAAAAACAGATCCTTAAATACAGATAATAAACTGGTGTTTGCCAGAGGGGAGGGGTAGGAGGGATGGGAAGAATGGGTGAAGAAGAGTGGGAGATATGGGCTTCCAGTGGAATGTATGATTTGGGGGAATGAAAGGTACAGCATAGGGAATATGGTCAATAGTTTTGTAATAGCACTGTGAGGTGAGAGATGGTAGCTATACTTGTGATGAGTAAAACATAATGTATAGAGTTGTTAAAACACTATGTTGCGCACCTAAAACTAATGCAACATTGTGTATCAACTATATTTCAATTAAAAAAAAAAGAAAAACGGAAAGAAAAAATTTCCGTTAAGCACAATGCCCCAATTGTACTTTTAAATCACTAGCAATAAATAGCTGAGTACTAGGACATTCCTACCTGTAAGAGATTATGGAAACAAGAATATTTTGGCCTAGAGTAGGGGAAGGCAAAGACGAATGGGTTCAGAATGGCTTTTTTAGTAGCTATTGGTATTTGTTTCTTATCACTGATATAACAAATTGCCACAAACTTTGTGGCTTAAAAACACAAATTTATTATTTTATGGTTCTAGGGGTCAGAAGTCTAAAATGAGTCTTACTGGGCTACATTTAAGGTTGGGCTGTGTTCCTTTCTGGAGGCTCTAAAGGAGAACATATTTTTGCCTTTTCTACCTTCTAGTGCCTGCCTGCATTCCTACACTGGAGGCTCCCTTCCATCTTCAAAGTCAGTAAAGGCTGGTGGAGTCTTTTGTAAAACATCACTATGACACTGACTCTTCTGCTTCCCACTATCACCTCTTATTAAGGGTTCTTATGATTATGTTGGACTCACCTGGATAATCTAGGGTAATCTATCTTAAGGTTAGCTGTCAACTTTATTTCTATCAGCAATGTGAATTCTTCTTTGATACATAACAAATGATAGAGTTCCAGATCTCAGGACACAGATACTTCGTGGGGCCCTTATTCTCTTCACCACAGTCCACCCTGTGGCTCCCAAAGATTCACATCCAAACAAGATAAAAAAATATATTCAAAATCCCCAAAGATCTCATCTCATTACAGTATCAACTCAGTCCATAATTTCATCTAAATTTCATCAACTCCAAAACTCAAAATTTCACCATCTGCATCATCTAAATCAGGTATGGGTGGGACCATAGGTACTATACATCCTGGGCATTACTCCTCTCCATCTGTAGACCAGTGAAACTAAACAAATTATCTGTTCTCCAAAGTGTATCATGATGGGACAGGCACAGGACAGCAATTAATAGCCATTCCTGTTCAAAAACAGAAAATAGAAAGTAGAAATAGTCAGATGCCCCTCAAAACACAGAAATCCATCCAGGAAAACTCTATCTCCTTTTAAGGCCTTGGTTTGGACCTCCACCCTCTGAGATCCAGGGTCTGTTTTGAGCCATCCTTTCTTTCTCATAGAGGGTAGTATGTTTTTTGGCCTAAGGAGTTTTTTCAATTATTGCTTTCTCATAGAATTGTGCAGTACAATAGGTTTCTCTTATATCATTCAAGCTGGTAATATTTCTAATGGCAAAACATTCTCAAGAACTGTTTGAGTCCCTTGTGTCTGTCACAGGGATTCTTTCTCCCAGATAATAGGCTACTTCACAGTTCTTGCCAGTATAATTTCATCTCTATTTCTGACTTCTGCTGGGATGGCTGGGATTTCCATGAATTGCATGCCTAATCTCTTTAAAGAACCTGCTATATAACTAAATACTCTTACCTTTTAATCCTTTCAAGGTGCTAGCAAAAGATTGTCCTGTGACCCCTTGGCTCTTGCTCTAGAGCATACTTTCCTAATTTGAGCCTCGTGAGAAAAGCCTGAAAAGGCTAAAAATTTAGCACATTACCCAGTTCTAGTCCCTTTTAAAAGCTTAACAGTTCTTCCCACCATCTATCTTATTCCTCTCACATTTTATTATAAGCAGCAAGAAGAAAACGGGCTGCACCTCATTTCTTTCGGATCTCTTAACATTAGTGACTTTAACATCCATATTTCTACCATCTCTTCATAATTATTTGGGTATTCTTTTTTTTTTCTTGAGAGAGAGAGAGAGAGAGAGAGAGAGAGAGAGAGAGATGGAACACCAGTGCTGGAGAGTGAGGGGAGGGGGTGGGGGGTAGGGAGAGAGTCTTAAGCAGGTTCCTAGCTTAGCATGGAGCCAGATGTGGGGCTTGATCTCAGGACTCTGAGATCATGACCTGAGCCAAAATCAAGAGTTGGACACTACTGAGCCACCCAGACACCACAATTTAGGTATTCCATATAGCAACATATATATTCTCCACGATACTCCTTACTTCATTCTGAGACTTTGACAGCAGAGTTGTTAACATCCATATTTCTAGCATCAGCCTGTCCAAAAAAATCTAGGATTTTCCATCATGCTTTTCAAAATTCTTCCACCCTCTGCCTACCTTCTAGTTCCAAACAACTTCTATGATTTTAATTATTTGTTCCAGGTACCAAAACTTTATTGTTCAGGATTCAAACAGAGAAACAGAACCAGCAGATTTGAGAGATTTGTTGCAAGGAAATAACTTACCCAATTGTGGGAGCTGGCTAGGCAAGTCCAGTACCTGTAAGACAGGCAATTAAAGGACTGGCTGAAACTCTGGGGCATAAGCTGAAGCCTCTGCCCACAGAGAAAATTCATCTTAGGGAAAATTCATATCTTCCCTGAAGGACTTTCACCTGATGAATCAGGCCAACACAGAACATTTGGGATATTCTCCTTATTTTCAGGTTCACTAATTAGCAACCTTAATTCCATCTGAACCTTAATTCCTCTTTACAATATAGCTTAATATTTAACAGGTTCCAGGAATTAGGATCCAGATATCTTTAGGGGGCCATTATTCTGCCTACCACACCATTTTATAGCATCTGCAAAATTAAGAGGCTCCTGGAGATAGAGGAGTCCTGAAAACAGAGCTGATTATTTCTTCAAATCATTCAACATCCTCACCAATATATTTTTAAGTAAGTTTTCTTTGATTAACTAATATTAATTATGCAATGATTTTCTTTAAAATCCCCTAACAACAAGTACAATGTCATCATCCAAAGGCAACTAGATATTGGCATGTTGTGCCATCAAAAGATCCTCTAGGCCTAGAACTTGGAAGTCACTTAAGAATTACTCTGCAATCACAGTACATAATTGCAAGCAATGCTTTTCCTGGCACTAAAGCTGTTAAAGTATAGAGGAACACCTTAAATGTAATCTGGGTATGAGTAAATCTGTCTAGGACTCTTATCAGGATCATAATTTAAGTTACATGTAAGTAAGAACCCCTATGTTTTTCAACATTAATGAAAGGATCCCTGGGTGGCGCAGCGGTTTAGCACCTGCCTTTGGCCCGGGGTGCGATCCTAGAGACCCAGGATCAAATCCCACGTTGGGCTCCCGGTGCATGGAGCCTGCTTCTCCATCTGCCTGTGTCTCTGCCTCTCTCTCTCTTTCTCTCAGTGACTATTGTAAATAAATAAAAATTTAAAAAAACATTAATGAAAGAATGCATGATAGATATATTTTCATGATGTGACATATGTATTTCAGAGCAAAAATCTAATGCTTACAAGTGTGACTTTTTGAAATAAATAGCATAAAATGTACAGTTGCTGCTTATTTATAAAACAAAAATCCAAAAAGAGCTTGGAAAAAGTGGACATGGGTAAATACAAATTGATTCCACTCGAAACACAAAAGGGGTTATGCAAAAGTCATAGGTGGGTTAATAACAAAACCTAAAAGACTTCCAGTAATTTAAAAATGAAGTGTGTAGGGCAGCCCGGGTGGCTCAGTGGTTTAGCGCCACCTTCAGCCCAGGGTGTGATCCTGGAGACCCTGGATTAAGTCCCTGGATTAAGTGTGTCTCATGAATAAATAAACAAAATGTTTTTTATTTAAACAAAATATTTTTTAAAAAATGAAGTGTGTAGAAAGGAATCATTCCCTTTTTCAAGTAGACTCCATCATGGAGCCCAAAATGGGCTTTGAACTCATGACCTTGAGACCAAGACCTCAGATGAGATCAAGAGTCAGAGGCTTAACCAATTGAACGAACTCCAGAAATCAGACATTCTTAAGTAGTGTTACCGTTAAGAGTAAATTTACTACGTATAAACAGGGGGAAAGTACAATTAAAATTACTACTGGATTTTAAAAAGCAACAGAAAGGCCAAGGAGACAAAACTAATGCAAAAGGAAAAGAATAAGTTTCAAATACCTAAACTATTCCAGAAAGTTGGATTGGAAGGTTGGATTTCCCTCTGACTTCCTCCCAAGATCCTGGCTTACAATATTGGGGAAAATCGGCTTCAAGAACTTGAACTCGCTGGTCCCAGTCCCTCCCGTCAGACACACCTCGTACTGGTAGCTCTGGGACAGGGTCCCCGCGCCGCTGACGTCCACCAGGTGGCCCGGAAAGTGGCCCTCGGGCACCGCGCAGCCACCCCCCGACGCCGCCCCGCTCCTCCTGCACAGCCGCACCGCCACGAACGCCAGCGCCGAGCACAGGAAGAGCGACGACACGGACGCCAAGGCGATGACCAGGTAGACGGTGAGCGGGTCGGCCCGGGCCTCGGCCGCCGCCACGTCCGGCAGCGGCAGGTAGGGCTGCGAGAAGCCGTCCACCAGCAGCACGTGCAGCGTGACGCTGGCCGACAGCGGCGGCTCGCCATTGTCCTTGACCAGCACCAGCAGCCTGTGCTTGACCGCGTCGCGCTCGCTCAGCAGCCGGGCCGTGCGCACCTCGCCGTTGTGCGCCCACACGCCGAACAGCCCGGGCTCCGTGGCCTTGAGCAGCTGGAACGACAGCCAGGCGTTCTGGCCCGCGTCGCCGTCCACCGCCACCACCTTGGTCACCAGGTAGCCCGCCTCGGCCGCCCGCGGCACCAGCTCGGTGCAGGGCGCAGAGCCGTTCTGCAGCGGGTACAGCACGAAGGGCGCGTTGTCGTTGTCGTCCAGCACCAGCACGCGCACCAGCGCCTGGCTGCTCAGCGCGGGCGAGCCGCGGTCGGCCGCGCCCACGCGGACCTCGAAGGCCTGCAGCGCCTCGTAATCCAGGGACCTGAGCGCGAACAGCTGCCCGTTGTCCGCGTTGATGGACACCAGCGAGGCGAGCGGCAGGTGCGGGTCCCGGGGCGGCAGCAGCGAGTAGGTGACCTGGGCGTTGGCGCCCGCGTCCCTGTCGGTGGCGCTCACGGTGCCGATGTGCAGGGCGGGGCTGTTGTTCTCGCGGACGCGCAGGGTGTAGGTGGTCTGGCTGAAGGCGGGGGCGTTGTCGTTGACGTCGGAGACCGTCACGGTGATGTTGTGCTGGGTCTTCAGCCTGGGGGTCCCCAAGTCACTGACGGTGATGGTGATGTTGTACTCCGCTTGGCTCTCTCTGTCCAGCGCTCCTTCTGTTACCAAGGTATAGAAATTCTCTTCTGATGGTTTCAGGAGGAAAGGGAGATCATCCTGGATGCAGCAAGTTATCTTTCCGTTGTCCCCCGAGTCTCGATCTCGAACTCTAAACAGGGCCACCTCTGTTTCTGGAGAATTTTCAGGAATGGGGCTGGTGAGTGATGAAATAGTTAGTTCTGGGAAGTTATCGTTAACATCCACCACCTCAATGGAGACAGAGCATCTTCCAGAAAGCCCTCCACCATCAGATGCCTCTATTTCCAGCTCATATGAAGATATTGTCTCAAAATCTAGTTTTTTAATCAGTCGAACTTCTCCTGAAAAGTTGTTTAGCTCAAAAGTTGTACTTATCTCCTGAGAACTATAAAAATAGGAGTAGGATATCTCCCCATTTGTCCCAGTGTCTAAATCTCTAGCAGAGACCTTGACAACTAGCATGCCCACAGGGCTGTTCTCTGGAACTTGAACCTGGTAGAGTGTCTGTACAAACTCAGGGGCATTGTCATTGACGTCCAGGACCAAGATGCGAACCTGAGCAGCACCAGACCGGGGCGGAGAGCCGCCATCCAGCGCTGTGAGAGTTACTTTGAGCTCAGCCTGCTCCTCCCGATCCAGCTCTTTGACTAGTACCAGTTCTGGGTATTTCCTACCATCCCCTCTGGTGCGGGTAGAAACACGGAAATGAGAGTTGGGACTGATGCTGTAATTTTGGATGTTGTTGTTGCCCACGTCCAAGTCCTGGGCTTTTTTCAAAGCAAACACAGTCCCAGGAGGGCTTGTCTCCAGGATTTTCAGAGTCATTTCTCTTTCAGGAAATTCAGGAGAATGATCATTTATATCTCTCACCAGTAGCTCAGCCCGAAATACTCCCAATGGGTTTTTCAGTAACACTTGGAAATGCATTACACATGGATCTGTAGAGCCGCACATCTCCTCCCGATCCAGTTTCTCACTTAATACCAACTCCCCGGTCTGCAGATCAAGCTGCAAGCTGGGTTCGTTTTCCTCAGAGACCACCCGGGCTCCCCGCGCTGCCAGCTCCCCTACTCCCAGCCCCAAGTCCTTGGCCAGGTTGGCCACAAATGAGCCACTCTCTGTTTCCTCCATCACGGAATAGCGACGGGATTCCCAGCCTGCCAGAGCCTCTCCCAACAGGAGAAAGAGAATCAGGACTTGCCTTTGTTTAGGAAAGCACTCCCCTCTGGCCTCCATCTTTACTTCCACAGAAGCCTTTCCAAAAACAGGGCTCACCTCTACCTTAGGAACAGTGAAGGATCTCTCGGTTGGTAACTATCCGGAAATGCTGATGAGTATCGTGACGTACTGGTCCTGAACTCTGCATACAAGCTTTAGTCTTCGGCTATAGATGGGAAGTAGAGTTTGCAGCAGTTCCCGGGCTGCTTTTTTTTTTTTTTTTAAGCCTTAGCCTGCAGCGCCACCATGTGTTTTCTTCCAAAAGAATCGCTACAGTTGTCTTTTCTCTGATCCAGGCAGCAATTGGGAGTTTGGAAATGGTTTGAAGGAGGTAATATTATCAGAAAACCATGTAATTATAATTATTCATTCTTTCACTCAAAGAAGTGTTATTGTTATTTACATATTAAGTTCTGAAATAGATCACTAAACAACCCAAATATAATCCCTACTTTATACAAACTGTAGTCTGGGTGAAGTGCTCCAAAAGTTGAGAAGTGTAAGAAGACAATAGTAATAAATCATGTTGTAAAAACAACAGTATATACTTCAGTGATTTCTTAAAATTCTCTCAGCAAGAAAGATGAATTCCTCTAGATTTTCTTTCAAATTCTAGGCAGTGTATGTGACAGAATGATGGTTCCCGTTGGTTGAATCACAACAAAGAAAAAGCTACCAGTTAAATCCTAGTTTATGATATCACTTCCACATAAGGTCAGGGAATTATGATTTTGTAAAACTTCCAAACAATGGTAAAATGCATATGAAGGCACTTTCTATATCTCTAACCCTACTTTTCCTCCTTAGCACTTATCTGATATGGCATACATGTACATACTTAATTTTTTCTTTTTAAAAATACTTTATTTATTTGTTCATGACAGACACACACAGAGAGAGGCAGAGACACAGGTAGAGGGAGAAGCAGGCTCCATGCAGGGAGCCCGACGTGGGACTCGATCCTGGGTCTCCAGGATCACACCCTGGGCTGAAGGCAGCACTAAACCACTGGGCCACTGGGACTGCCCTAATTTCTTCTTTTCTGTGTCATTCTTGGGCTTGAGATCTTTGTTCTATTAATGTCCACATGTCCAACATCTGGAACATACAGTAGATGCTCAACAACTATTTGTTTAATAGCTCAATCAATAAAACACAATTAATTTTAAAATTCTGATAGATGGATTCTTTTCCTAAGAAGATCCTAGTTCATTATATGAGCTGGATAAACAAGACACCATGTTCCCAAATAGCCATTTTCTACACTCTTTAGAAAAGTAATTTGCAATACTTCAGAATGATCTAAATATTTTTCATTAAATGGCAAAATACTCTGGCATCCCCTATACAATGGAATAGATTCTAAAAAACAAAAACCAGAACATAGCGACCAGGCTATAAAGATCCTACAAATAAGGTACATCTCTTAACTCTGGGAAACGAACTAGGGGAGGTGGGCGGGGGTGGGGTGGGGGTGACTGGGTGGCGGGCACTGAGGTGGGCACTTGACGGGAGGAGCACTGGGTGTTATTCTGTATGTTGGCAAATTGAACACCAATAAAAAATAAATTTATTATTAAAAAAAATAAAAAGGTACATCTCTTTTATTTTTTTAAAGATTTATTTATTTATTTATGATAGACACGCTGAGAGAGAGAGAGGCAGAGACACAGGCAGAGGGAGAAGCAGGCTCCATGCTGGGAGCCCCATGTGGGTCTCAATCCCAGGGGACTCGAGGATTGAGCCCTGGGCCAAAGGCAGGCGCCAAATCCCTGAGCCACCGAGGGATCCCCGGGTACATCTCTTTTAGAACACATTTTACATTGTCAATGTTATTTCACACTAATGCTATTATGACACTAATAATATTCAAAATTTTCTTACATAGTAGAATTTTCAAAGAATTTCCATAAGACACTAAAGAAGCTGTAAAATTTTAAAATCACCATCAATTCTTCTCAAAATCACATATTTTAATAAAAGCTTGTGCTTGTCCCTTACAGACTACTGATATTCCACAAACTTTTGATCCCAAATAATTATACTAATATTAAAACCCCAATTTAAAAAATTCATGGGATGCCTGGATGGCTCAGCAGTTGAGTGTGTGTCTGCCTTCGGCTTGGGATATGATCCTGGAGTCCCAGGATCAACTCCCCCTTAGGGATCTTTGCATGGAGCCTGCTTCTCCCTCTGCCTGTGTCTCTGCCTCTCTCTCTCATAAATAAATAAAATCTTTTTAAAAGATATCCAATGAGTAAAATTCAATCCATGCAAGACTAAACATGCATTTGATAAGGGAAAATTCTACTTAGCTAACATAATTAAAGGGAGATTTCTTAAAAGCGCACACATTTGTTTCAAAAAATCCAAGGAAGAAAGCTGACTTGGGAAAATCTATAATGTTACTTTTTAGGCATCTCCTTTCTTCTTGGACTCTATGTGGACTGACTTTCTCTTTTTTCTTTCATTGTATTTAGCCAACATGATATCATTTTCTTGTTAAGTTCCTAACAAACTATTTTAGATCTGATTTCTAAAGCCATTTTTAATAATAAATTTATTTTTTATTGGTGTTCAATTTGCCAACATACAAAATAACACCCAGTGCTCATCCCGTCAAGTGCCCACCTCAGTGCCCGCCACCCAGTCACCCCCACCCCCCGCCCTCCTCCCCTTCCACCACCCCTAGTTCATTTCCCAGAGTTAGGAGTCTTTATGTTCTGTCTCCCTTTCTGATATTTCCCACACATTTCTTCTCCCTTCCCTTATATTCCCTTTCACTTTTATATTCCCCAAATGAATGAGACCATATAATGTTTGTCCTTCTCCGATTGACTTACTTCACTCAGCATAATACCCTCCAGTTCCATCCACATCGAAGCAAATGGTGGGTATTTGTCATTTCTAATGGCTGAGTAATATTCCATTGTATACATAAACCACATTTTCTTTATCCATTCATCTTTTGATGGACACCGAGTAAAGCCATTTTTTTAAACAAAAGAGATTTTGCTCAGCATGGATTAGCAATACCACCTTGGATGACTGTCTGAAAACAGAGGAAAATGAATCAAATAAAATGAACATGGATGCAACAGTACATATCTACTGAAGAGAGAAGGTTCCTGAAAATTATGGGTACACTAGACAAGACATTATAGGGATCTATCATTTAAAAATCTTGAAATAATGTAATAATTTTTTGATAATAGTCATAGATTGATATACTGAAGGCTGATATAGAGGAAAAGCCCTTACATATGGAAGAAATTATAGCCTTTCTAGAGGAAAAGCCTTTACATATGGAAGGAATTATAGCCTTTCTACTTACTACTAGTGTGAAAAAAATGCAATTTTTGCAGACATTTCTCCACTTAATTTAAGACAGGCTTAATATCAGATGAAACAGAAGCTATATACTAATATTCATTTTATTAATATTATGATGCTTCCTAACCACAATATCAAAGATTTAGAGTTTCCATATAATAATCAAATAAAGGGTGGGGCTGGGGTCATCTTCAAATCAACAGTGCTTGATAATGAAAAGTTGACAAATACAACACATGTTCACTTTTCAGTAATGCAATAAAGTTGAAAATTTTGTGTCTCCATCAAAATACAAATGATAAAAAGAGTAAAGAGTAAATTCTATATGGACCAAAACCAGTAAGGGGGACCTATCAAAATTAGAAGGAACTAACCTTCATCCAAATTCCTAATTGAATCAAACTATTTACAAAATTTAGGTTTTCCTCCACGTCATTCACAGACCTCTGTTAGGTGAAGACAACAGACTTCAAGAACTTAAATTCCCTGGTCCCAGATTCTTCTCTGATACACCTCGTACTGGTAGCTCTGGGACAGGGTCCCCGCGCCGCTGACGTCCACCAGGTGGCCCGGAAAGTGGCCCTCGGGCACCGCGCAGCCACCCCCCGACGCCGCCCCGCTCCTCCTGCACAGCCGCACCGCCACGAACGCCAGCGCCGAGCACAGGAAGAGCGACGACACGGACGCCAAGGCGATGACCAGGTAGACGGTGAGCGGGTCGGCCCGGGCCTCGGCCGCCGCCACGTCCGGCAGCGGCAGGTAGGGCTGCGAGAAGCCGTCCACCAGCAGCACGTGCAGCGTGACGCTGGCCGACAGCGGCGGCTCGCCATTGTCCTTGACCAGCACCAGCAGCCTGTGCTTGACCGCGTCGCGCTCGCTCAGCAGCCGGGCCGTGCGCACCTCGCCGTTGTGCGCCCACACGCCGAACAGCCCGGGCTCCGTGGCCTTGAGCAGCTGGAACGACAGCCAGGCGTTCTGGCCCGCGTCGCCGTCCACCGCCACCACCTTGGTCACCAGGTAGCCCGCCTCGGCCGCCCGCGGCACCAGCTCGGTGCAGGGCGCAGAGCCGTTCTGCAGCGGGTACAGCACGAAGGGCGCGTTGTCGTTGTCGTCCAGCACCAGCACGCGCACCAGCGCCTGGCTGCTCAGCGCGGGCGAGCCGCGGTCGGCCGCGCCCACGCGGACCTCGAAGGCCTGCAGCGCCTCGTAATCCAGGGACCTGAGCGCGAACAGCTGCCCGTTGTCCGCGTTGATGGACACCAGCGAGGCGAGCGGCAGGTGCGGGTCCCGGGGCGGCAGCAGCGAGTAGGTGACCTGGGCGTTGGCGCCCGCGTCCCTGTCGGTGGCGCTCACGGTGCCGATGTGCAGGGCGGGGCTGTTGTTCTCGCGGACGCGCAGGGTGTAGGTGGTCTGGCTGAAGGCGGGGGCGTTGTCGTTGACGTCGGAGACCGTCACGGTGATGTTGTGCTGGGTCTTCAGCCTGGGGGTCCCCAAGTCACTGACGGTGATGGTGATGTTGTACTCCGCCTGGCTCTCTCTGTCCAGCGCTCCTTCTGTTACTAGCTTGTAGAAATTCTCAAGGGAAGGTTTTAGAGTGAACGGAACATCTTCCTGGATGGAACAAAACATCCTCCCATTTTCCCCGGAGTCTCGGTCTTGAATACTGAAAAGAGCTATGGTGGTCTCAGGGGAATTTTCTGGGATCGAGCTTATAAGTGAAGCCATAGTCAGTTCTGGGGTGTTGTCATTTATATCCACCACCTCTATTATGACAGTGCATTTGCCAGAAAGACCTGCTCCATCAGAGGCCTTAATATCCAGCTCATATGACATAATTTTTTCAAAATCTAGTTCCCTAATTATTTTAATTTCTCCTGTGAGTTCATTAAGTGCAAATGTCCTACTAATCTCTTCATCGCCATAAAAAAATGAATAAAATACTTTGCCATTTGTTCCTGTGTCTAAATCTCTAGCTGAAACAGTTACAATAAGAGATCCCAGGGGACTGTTTTCCAGGATCTGGGCACGATAGAGTGGCTGCACAAACTCAGGGGCATTGTCATTGATGTCCAGGACATCAATGAGGACCAAGGCAGTCCCAGTTTTGGGAGGAACTCCACCATCTACTGCCAGGAGAGTTAACCTAAGTTCAGGCTGCTCCTCTCGATCTAGGGCTTTGTCCAAAACCAGTTCCGGATATTTTCTGCCTTCACCGCTATTGCGCGTAAGAACGTGGAAGTGGGAGTTGGGATAAATGGTGTAGTTTTGAATATTATTGATGCCTACATCCAAATCTTGTGCGTTTTTCAGGGGAAACACAGTCCCTGGAAGAGTATTTTCCATGATTTTCAAAATCATTTCTGATTCTGGGAACACAGGGGAATTGTCATTTATGTCACTGACCAAAAGCTTATACCTATATACCTCCAAAGGTTCTTCCAGTAACACTTGGAATTGCAGTACACAGGGCTCAATGGAGCCACACAGTTCCTCCCGATCCAGTTTCTCATTTATTTGTAAATCTCCAGTCTGAAGGTTCAGCTGAAAATGTTTTTTGTCATCGTTAAAAATGATCCGAGCCCTCCGCCAAGAGAGCTCTTTTACCCCTAGCCCTATGTCTTTTGCTAGATTGGCCACAAAAGAACCACTCTCTGTTTCTTCTGCAATACGATAATCTTCCTGCTCTGCGCAACTATGAGCCAGCAAAACAAAGAGAAGAACTTGCCTTAGTCTAGGAAAGCGCTCCTCTTCAGCCTCCATTTCTACGCGAAAAAATCTTTAGAATCCAAGTGCCCGTTTGGTCTTTAGGCAGTCCGCTCTGGGAATCAATCCCTGCCGCAAGGCAACTCCGTAAAGAATTATCTTCTCTTAGAAGTGCGTGTGACTGCCCGAACGCTTACCATCCGCAGGTCTGTTTTTCGCAGCCTTAGCTTATAGCGCCACCATGTGTTGTACTTAAGCCTAGCTTGCTGAAATTTTCTTGGTGAGGTTACGAATGGGGAAATGGTGCCACACACTTTGGGAAAGGATGAAAAAACAAAGCCAACTGTATTTGTTTATTCAACAAGTATTTATCGATTTTGTGTTGTATGTCAGGCACTGTATTAAGTTCTGGGAATACAAATACGTTCTCTGACCTCATGGGGTTCACAGTATGTCTACTATATTGTATAATCTGTACTCTCCAGGAAAATTGACTAGATAACGTTGTGTACCTATCAGTCTATTCCTAAACAGAGAATATACACAATTAAACTCTTTACTCACTGCCAGCACAATAGATGAAAAGATTTATTCACATGATTCATTCACATGTAAGGAGTATAAACTTAAGTGATAGACCAGCTAGAACCTGGTTTATTACGCAAAATCAGTAAAAAGCTTACAGGGTTGTGGATGATTTATTTGTAAATATTGTCTAAGGAGAATGTTTCTGTACCTCTGTGAGCATGTTGCATTATCTTGTTCCATTGTCCAAAACAATTTGTAAAGACATCTACATTTATTCCTAAAACCAAGATATTCACATTTTGAAGCAGAGATTCACTGAGATCAGGAAAAGTAGGATAGTTGAGATCATAAAAATAAAGGGCTGATGTTAAAGTAATAAAGTGCTGGAAAAATAAGTTGGATTTATATGAAAGAGCAGGTAAAACTTTTCTCAAGTAAGGAAGATTTACTCATTTTTAGCAAGCAACTTACATATGTCTTGTGGATAGCTTGGGATCCTGGCACTCTGGCATGAAACTGAAGTTCTTTTACTCCTGGGATAAACATCTGTGTTAGGGAGCCTGGGTCTCCTCAGTTGCATCAAACTTTAGCCAATATTTTATTTTATTTTATTTTATTTTATTTTATTTTATTTTATTTTTTATTTATTTATTTATGATAGTCACAGAGAGAGAGAGAGAGGCAGAGACACAGGCAGAGGGAGAAGCAGGCTCCATGCACTGGGAGCCCGATGTGGGACTTGATCCCTGGTCTCGAGGATCGCGCCCTGGGCCAAAGGCAGGCGCCAAACTGCTGCGCCACCCAGGGATCCCTAGCCAATATTTTAATAACATTTAAATAATAGACACTGTCTTGTATTCTGGCACACTAATACCTGTCTAACTGGGAAAACCGCATGGGCCAAGTGTAAAAATTGTTTTGCATATTAGTTTAACTCTATTAAAGGTACAAATCACTTAAAGCGACATCCTATTTTAGAATGTTTTCCTGGGCAGCCCAAGTGGCTCAGCGGTTTAGCGCCACCTTCAGCCCAGGGCCTGATCCTGAAGACCCGGGCTGCCTGCATGGAGCCTGCTTCTCCCTCTGCCTGTGTCTCTGCCCCCCTCTCTCTCTCTCTGTGTCTCTCATGAATAAATAAATAAAATATCTTTTAAAAAAATAGAATGTTTTCCTATACACAGTGAAACTGATTATGTAAACTCAAAATATGAGAACATACTGCTGACAGTTAAAATTTAATAGATAATTTCCTTATAGAAATATGTTGGTCATGGATCAGACTCTTTATTGTGGAATCAAATGTCCAAGAAAATGTGCCCTTAATGTCCATATACTTTTAGAAATATTAATAGACAGAAGCTGGTTCCTATGTCAGTAAGTGAATGGATCAAACTAAGTTTTTCATTCCAATTTGCATCTCTCAGATAAATTTTCTCTTTATTTTCTAAGGAGAAAATTTTAAGCTCATATACTTGGCAGGAAGCTTGAATTTTTTCCTGAGGATACTGGTAATAGAGTATGTGTCAATAAAATTACTATTAATGAAATCATGAATTAACCCATATGATCTATAAATTGGATTATTTATAGGTCCTGAAGATTTTACATTAGATGATAAAATTATTTTGTTCACACTGAACTCAGTTATTTTTGAAAGAAAGAGATGATAAGGAAGGTATGATGTATAGACATCCAAACAATAACAATTTCAGTGTTACTTTTTTTTTCAGTGATACTTTTTCAAACTAATCCTGGAGCACATAAAATAAATGGAGGGAAACTTGTTAACAAAATATTCCATAAAACCTTTTGTAATATCTTTTTGTTGAAAGAGCTCAGAAATTGTCTACAAAATTAAGTTTTGTCACAAAATTCTCTAGTATAGATTAGTTATCTCTAAGCTTGTACATTTTTATTACATTCATTGATTGCATTAATATCAAAAGCCTGCAATAAAAGACCTAGGTTTTATGGTTAATAGTCTAATTGAATACTCAAGATTGCATGCATCTTTCCTGTCACTTTTGGTTTCAAGAAAGCTACTCTTCCCAAGATAAGTTAAATAAAGGAGTTAATTTTTAGGAAACTGTGGAGTTTTACCGTAGAGCTCAAGAACAATTAGATAATAGGGACTTAGGAACAGTGGAATTAAGAACTGACAGGTCTACAACCAAGTGGCTCTTAGTCTCTTCTGTTTCTTAGGCTTCTGCCTCCACCACCCCCTTATTTCTTCTCACTTTCCTTCCATTCCTCCATTATTTCCTCCCTCTCTGCTTGCCATTTTGTGCCGTCAACCTACACAAGTTTAAACATGGCTACCTTAGCCCATACTTAATATTTATTTCCTAGTTGCAAGCAATCAAGAAAAAAACAGATGAACTACATCATTATTACAAATTTAGGAACTTGGAGAATATGACGATTCCTACTTTAATCAGGAATCCATTACTTAGGTCAATCAAAAATGGCCAAGAGAGGTAAAGAAAAGTATAATAAACATCTCAGCAGTGATTATTTCCCTTGAGAAGTCTGAGGAAGTTCTCAGATAAGAAGTGTGGTTGGATATATATCTTAACCCAAACAAGATTAGAATTTATTTTAACACAACATCTACCAGCCATATATACAGTTCTCAAAATATTTTCAAAGAAAAATACCTAAATGCAGAAAAATTACTCTGAAATATTTGTCAGAAAAGTAGAATGGCAAGATTGATTATGCTTTTTTAAAAAATCTAAGACAGTATCTTAGAAACCATGCGTGGTTTTTATTTATACCAGGCTTTTTCCTCTATCAAACATATAGAAACTGTTTCATTGAGAGGACCTAGAGCTCAGAACACCCAAAGAATATGATTGAGCCCAGTGTGCCATTAAGCTTGAAGGGAAAATGCTGTATATTTGAATAAATTATGTGAGGTTGCAGTTAATATTAAAAGGGCAGAAAACAAATTATTAAAACTTCTGAAAACTGGGCACCTGGGTGGCTCAGTGCTTGAACGTCTGCCTTAGGTTCAGGTCATGATCCCGGGATCCAGTCCCACATCAGGCTCCCTATAAGGAACCTGTTTCTCCCTCCACCTGTGTTTCTGCCTCTCACCCCTTGTCTCATGAATAAATGAAATCTTAAAAAAAAAAAAAAAAGCAAACTGAAAACTCGCAGGTAAAAGGAAGTTACCCAAAACAAAGAATTTTACATTACAATGAATGCATTTTACAAAGAAACAGCATTGATTCTAAAAGCTCTGCACAATAATCAAACCCCTAAATGAACTCAATGCTATTCTTAAAAGTGTGGCTTTCTTCCATCTTACATTCCTGGGGAGGAAGGTTGGGGATAGCAGGTTTAAGAAACTTGAACTCGCTGGTCCCTGAGCCTCCCGTCAGACACACCTCGTACTGGTAGCTCTGGGACAGGGTCCCCGCGCCGCTGACGTCCACCAGGTGGCCCGGAAAGTGGCCCTCGGGCACCGCGCAGCCACCCCCCGACGCCGCCCCGCTCCTCCTGCACAGCCGCACCGCCACGAACGCCAGCGCCGAGCACAGGAAGAGCGACGACACGGACGCCAAGGCGATGACCAGGTAGACGGTGAGCGGGTCGGCCCGGGCCTCGGCCGCCGCCACGTCCGGCAGCGGCAGGTAGGGCTGCGAGAAGCCGTCCACCAGCAGCACGTGCAGCGTGACGCTGGCCGACAGCGGCGGCTCGCCATTGTCCTTGACCAGCACCAGCAGCCTGTGCTTGACCGCGTCGCGCTCGCTCAGCAGCCGGGCCGTGCGCACCTCGCCGTTGTGCGCCCACACGCCGAACAGCCCGGGCTCCGTGGCCTTGAGCAGCTGGAACGACAGCCAGGCGTTCTGGCCCGCGTCGCCGTCCACCGCCACCACCTTGGTCACCAGGTAGCCCGCGTCGGCCGCCCGCGGCACCAGCTCGGTGCAGGGCGCAGAGCCGTTCTGCAGCGGGTACAGCACGAAGGGCGCGTTGTCGTTGTCGTCCAGCACCAGCACGCGCACCAGCGCCTGGCTGCTCAGCGCGGGCGAGCCGCGGTCGGCCGCGCCCACGCGGACCTCGAAGGCCTGCAGCGCCTCGTAATCCAGGGACCTGAGCGCGAACAGCTGCCCGTTGTCCGCGTTGATGGACACCAGCGAGGCGAGCGGCAGGTGCGGGTCCCGGGGCGGCAGCAGCGAGTAGGTGACCTGGGCGTTGGCGCCCGCGTCCCTGTCGGTGGCGCTCACGGTGCCGATGTGCAGGGCGGGGCTGTTGTTCTCGCGGACGCGCAGGGTGTAGGTGGTCTGGCTGAAGGCGGGGGCGTTGTCGTTGACGTCGGAGACCGTCACGGTGATGTTGTGCTGGGTCTTCAGCCTGGGGGTCCCCAAGTCACTGACGGTGATGGTGATGTTGTACTCCGCCTGGCTCTCTCTGTCGAGGGGGCTCTCTGTTACCAGGGTGTAGAAATTCTTGAAGGTAGGCCTCAAGAGAAAGGGAAGGTCATCCTGAATGGAGCATACCATCCTCCCGTTATTTCCAGCATCCTGGTCTCGTAAGCTAAAAACCGCTACCACCATTTCAGGGGACGAATTTTCAGGAATGGGGCTGGTAAGAGATGTCATGAGTATTTCTGGTGGGTTGTCATTCACATCCACAACCTGAACTAAGATTGCTGCTTTTCCAGAAAGACTACCCCCATCAGTGGCCTGAATATTTATTGTATATGATTGAATTAACTCAAAATCCAGAAGGGCTTTTAAATGGATTTCACCAGAAATTGGATGGATTTCAAATGTTTTCCGTATGTCTGTAGAGACGTGGGAAAATGAGTAAGATAGTTCTCCATATATTCCGGCATCCAAATCTGTAGCAGACACCCTGACGACCAAGGAGTCCACAGGGCTGTTTTCTGGCATCTGAACCTCATAGACAGGCCTTTCAAACTCTGGAGCATTGTCATTGATATCTAAAACCAAAACACGAACCAGTGTAGTTCCAGACCTGGGTGGAGACCCGCCATCCAAGGCTGTTAGCTTTAATTTAAGCTCAGGCTCCTTTTCTCGATCCAGAGATTGGTCCAGTAACAGCTCTGGGTATTTTTTGCCATCATCACTGTCTTGTACTTTAAGGCGGAAATAAGGATTGGGACTTAATGTGTAGTTTTGGACACCATTCTTTCCTACATCCAAGTCCTGAGCACTGTCCATTTGGAATGAGGTTCCTGGAGCAGTACCTTCTGAGATTTTCAGAAGTATGTGTTTGTCTAGGAATGTAGGAATATGATCATTTATGTCTTTAACCCAAAGTTCAGCCCGAAAAAATTGTAAAGGATTTTCAAATAATACCTGGAAATGCAATATACACGGCTCTGTGAGATGGCAAAGTGCCTCCCGATCCAGTTGCTCATTTAAGAGCAAGTTGCCACTCTGCTGATCCAACTGTAAATATGGTTTATAGTCGTCAAAGATGACTCTCACCGCCCGTGCAACCAAGTCTTCCACACTCAAACCTCTGTCTTTCACTACATTGGCTATAAAGGATCCAATCTCCAATTCCTCTGCCACAGAGTAACGCCAGGGCTCTGAGCACACCAAAGACCCTCCGAGGAAAACAAAGAAAAGCAGTACTTGCCTTATCTGCTGAGAATGCTTCTCTCCTGGCTCCATGGCTCCTTAGCCAAACGTGTTTCTGCAGAAATGTTTCAACTCAGTCGCAAACAGCTCCTAAATTGCTCCTCTCATCTATCAGCCTGGACCACTGGGAATCTATAGACTTGTAATCCTGTCACAAGGGTGTTGTTGGCTCCCTGGCTTTCTCCTGAAAGCCTCTTTCTCCCTTCCTGCTTCTTCTATGCTCTCAGTACCACTGATTAATGGAGACCAGAGCATTGGATGGTACAAAAAAGTCCCCATCTTATCCTGCAGCGCCACCATGCGATTCCGAAGCTTCTCAGGTTTTAAATAAGTCAGATAAGTTTGAGACAAAATATTAATTCATTTTGTGTTTGTTGATTAAATTACCCTTTCTCTTATATTCTTATTTTCTGAGTTGCATTCTTTGTGATATGTGATGCTATTATTATTCAGTCTTTAACACAACAAACCACAATCTGTTAGTGCTATAGTGAATATAAAAATCATATTTAAGATACAGCCCTAATTTCTATGCTCTCTCTTTGAAGACAATATGTAAAACAACTAAAAAAGTTAAGAGGATTCTTTCATGTAATTGAATTTGTGAGCAAAATGTTACCAGGAAAATTGGAAAGGAGAAACAGAGGTTGTCTTCTCTAGCTATCAGCAAATACTCCTAGAAAAGACAATAATCATAATAAGGTCATGAATTTCTAACTGAACCTAATATATAAATACATATATAAATACAGTTGTTTTGGGGTGACTGGACATTTCAGGCTGGGTAAATGGTATCATTTACTTAGAGACACTTCATAGGAGACTTACCTGGCAGAAGTAGAAAGTAAGTGCTCAACAGTAATGAATAAAGCAAGATATGTCCGTTTCTGACATTAAAAAATTTAACAAACTAGATCCCAGTTTAGCTGTGGAAAAGAAATATATTTTGCAGACCTAGGCCTTCCAGAGGCATAATCATAAATATTTTATTCATCCACTCATTACTTTATCTAGCAAATATTTATTGACCATGTGCTTTGTGCTATAGGAATGGTACCAAGTGTTAGGAGGAATAGAGTGGTAAGAAGTTTCTGTCCTGAAAGATGGAGGCAGAAAAGTGATTGCACATTTAAAAATAGAACATAATGAGGGGTGCCTGGATGGCTCAGCTGTTTAAGCATCCAATTCTTGATTTCAGCTCAGGACCTGATCTCAGGGTCATGAGATCCAGCCCTGAGTCTGCTCTGTGCTGAGCTGTGTGGAGCTTGTTTAAGATTCCCTCCTTCTCTTTCACTCTGCCCCTCCCCCTGAAAATAAAAATAAATTAAAACTTAAAAAAAGGAACATAATGAATACCATTATAGCAAAAGTTTATGCTATTCTAAGAGCATAGATAAAGGTCATGTAACCAGAATTTGGAAGTACAGAAAAGACTTTTCTGGAACAAAAATTCGGTGTTGGGTAAAAATTTCCAGATAATCCCAAAACATGACTGCAAATCTGAGATGAGAGAAGTGTTTTGCAAGAACTGAAGGAGGATCAATATGGCTGAGCCATACAGCAAGAGGAAAGAAATAAGAACTGATATTGGGGAGATAAGCAAATAATTTTGTAAATCCTGCCAAGGTATTTGGACTCAACATTAATGGAAACGCAAGATTATTAAAGGCTTTTAAATGGAAAAGATGCTACTGATCTCAACTAGAAATGCAGTAATAAGCTTGTAATAAAATGATAAAGATACGGGTGGTGGTGACAGATGACATGGAGGGAGTGAGATAAGAAGAAGTGAAAAGAAATGTACCCTTTTTTCAGGCTTAGGGAACTGAGTGAGTGTTGGTGCTATTAACTGATAGAGAAAACAGGAAAAGAAGAGAGGAACAGATATAGAGTTGGGGAGGATGTTTCATTTTGAGGAAGGGACCACTTAAATTTAAAACATGTTGAATTTGAATTGTCCATAGAGCATCCCATATAGTTATATAAATGATCTCCCATTGTGTAAATTAAGTTGAGAAAAGAGGTTTGAGTTGCAGAGACAAATTTGGAATTTATTGGTATAAATGGTGGTTGAAGCCCTTCAAGAAAGAGGTAAGTTGTAGATTAAGAAGAGTATGCTTGGGCAGCCTGGCTGGCTCAGCAGTTTAGGTCTGCCTTCAGCCTAGGGTGTGATCCTGGAAACCTGGGATCGAGTCCCAAGTTGGGCTCCTTGCATGAAGCCTACTTCTCCCTCTGTCTCTCTCTGTGCCTCTCATGAATGAATAAATAAAATATTTTTTAAAAAGAGGAATATGCTTGATTTTGTGATTTCAGAGATAATGTAGCCCTAAGAGACTACCATCTCTAGAAAGTGTCCATGGTCTTATATGACTAAGACTAAAGTAAAAGTAGCCACGATCTTAGGTGACTAAGACCAGGGATTAAGAAGGCTAGAAACAGAGATAGGTCAAACTCATGGACTTGGAATTGTGGCAAGGGATGGACAGAGTAAAACTATAAGAAGTTACATTTAAAAAATCAAATGTCTTTATACCACTTCTCTCCTATGCTCTTGTTTAAAGCCAAACTTATATGTCTCATTTGATTTTCTTATTTGATGACTTGTATGTGCAAAGACTAAGCAGGAAGATTTTCTAATTTCTTTTATCATATTGAAGATATTTTACTTTTAATTTCCAGTGCTACTGTTGAGAAATTGTCAGCATGGAACATAGCTGTCTAACTGCCATGTGTTTAAAGATTACATGTCTTTTCCTATGCCTTTTCATTTTTAAAAAAAGATTTCTCTTTGTCTTTTTCTTTCTGAAACTACACAATGATGTTTCCAAGCATGGTTAGCTTTTTTTTTATCCTGTTAGGTTTATTTGAGTCTCTTGAACCTGTGTGTTGACATTTTAATCATTTCTGGAAAAATCTCAAAATTTTTAAATATATTATTAATCCCAGATTATATTATATTAATCTCTCTGAGATTATATTAATAATCTCAGAATATTTTCATATATTAAAATATATTAATAATTTATTATATAATAATATTATAATTACTACAATAATAAATATACATATATATTTTTAAGTAGGCTCCATACCCAACATGGGGCTTGAATTCATGACCCTGAGATTAAGAGTTGCATGCTCCACCGACAGCCAGCCAGGTGACCCTCCAATATTTTTCATATAATTGCTGTTGATCCTATCTTAAACTTCTTACTCTGTCCTATGTTTCTAACCACCTCCTCCATATTTTTCACCTTCTAAACTCTCTAAGCTGTTTGCTAGATAAATTATATTCTGACCTTTTACTTCATAAATTATTTATTTGGGTAGATCTACTTTCCTATTAAACCTTTTATTCAATTTTGATTGAATTTAAAATTTGGTTATATTTTTCAGTTCTAGGAGTGCTATTTGGTTCTTTAATAATCTATCAAATTTCTTATTCTCTATACATCTTTAAGCATAATTTGCATTTCAATTAAAATGTTTAGCATAGGGATCCCTGGGTGGCGCAGCGGTTTGGCGCCTGCCTTTGGCCCAGGGCGCGATCCTGGAGACCCGGGATCGAGTCCCACGTCGGGCTCCCGGTGCATGGGGCCTGCTTCTCCCTCTGCCTGTGTCTCTGCCTCTCTCTCTCTCACTGTGTGCCTATCATAAATAAATAAAACAAAAATAAATAAATAAAAAAAAATGTTTAGCATATTCTTAGATTATGTTTGGTAATTAAAATGTTTGAAGTATATTTCTGTATTCTCTTTTTTTTCCTGCTGGCTCTCACTCATGGTGTCATGTTCCCTTGTGTATGCAGTTATCTTTGTGTTCAAGTTACTTATTTATATGAATATTTTAAGCCTTAGGATGAACTTTCTTTTATAGAAGGTCTGCATTTAGTTCCATCAGGATCTGGAAGCACTACTTTGTCAACAACCATGTTAAATCAAGTTCAGTGCTAAAAAATCTAATTCAAAGCTGAAATTCTACACAAGGGCACATCCATTTCCACCTTATTTTCACCTTAAAGGTGTAGTTCTTAGGGATACGTATTTATTAATGTAAGGGTCTTCTATGACCTTTACTTTGTTATGCTTTGATTTTCTCCCTTATTATATAAACCATCAAAATAGAAGTTCACCCTTCCCAGGATTCCAAATAAACCAGGGAAAAGTTAGATGTTAAACTCATTTATCTCTCTCGGTTACTCTTAGACATTAATTGTAGCCAGATAACATATTACTGTCTTATTAGCTAATTGTTTTCAGTGGAAGCATTGGTCTACATAATCTATACCATCCCTACTAAAAGTAAGTCTCGGGATCCCTGGGTGGCGCAGCGGTTTGGCGCCTGCCTTTGGCTCAGGGCGCGATCCTGGAGACCCGGGATCGAGTCCCATATCGGGCTCCCGGTGCATGGAGCCTGCTTCTCCCTCTGCCTATGTCTCTGCCTCTCTCTCTCTCTGTGTGTGACTATCATAAATAAATAAATTTAAAAAAAATAAATAAAAGTAAGTCTCAATGAGACTTGTCTCACAATTATAAGTAAACTCTTGCTTTCTAGAATATAGGCAATTGACCTCACGAAGATAGAGAAATAATGTGCATTTTTTACCTACTTGATCAACACTAAATCAATCCAATAATGCTGCAATTTAAACAATCTCTCTCAGAAGAGACAATTTCTGTAATTGAGATTAGTATAGCTCCCACTTCTCTGCATTCTTTATTCTCCTGTAAATAAACATATCTTCCTGCCTACACCTGTTCCTTCTTCTCTCCTTCTAATATGCTTATTTATATATTTGTACAATTATAAGATATTATGTATTATATGGATATATACAGCACTGTACCAGAAATCCCAGTATCTTCCTTCCTTTTAAAACATTTGGGATTTATCCATGTGGCTGTATATACACCTAGTTCGCTCCTTTTGATAATATTCTGTAATATATTTCATAAACATTTTCCACATTTATAAGCTTCTTTATTGATGAATATGTAGGACTGACTCCTGTTCTTTGCTCTCCCAAGATGAACATTCTTATGCATATCATTTGTGAAGCTATGAAGGAAATTTTTTGGCTTATACATCTGAATCTAATATAACATTGTGTTTCAACTATACTTCAATTTAAAAAAAAGAATTTTCTGGCTTAGCTACTCCAAAGTGGAACTGCTGAATCACGGTTATGTTCACTCTAAATTTCACCAAATACTA